GAGAATTGGTGGCCCTATTGTTCATAAATACTGTCTTTCAAGAAGCTAGTATGTCGGAATTTCGTCATAAATATGAACAAAAATCAGGATATTGCAAATTTCGGGGAAAAATAGAGATAGCCTTAGAATATATAAGAAGCCGTCACATGAGCAAATAGTTCAAAAACCGGTTTGCATCAAAATATAAATAATCTTGTTACAGATGGAGATGCTGGTAAATTAAATTTCAAAGGATATTTCTGTGTATGCCCCTCTCTAAAACTCAAGAAAGTATGAGGAAAACTTATGCTGTCTCCTCGAGAACACTATGCATAAGAGCCCCCAGGACCTAAGGCTTGAGACTTGGACTCAAGAGAAGGCTTTGACCTTGTCTATTGAAAGAAAATCTTGTGGAAAGATGAAGAAGAATCTCTTAATACTTTAGTGTGACTCTACTTTTCATCTAAAGAGGAAAGTTGGTTGGAAGGGATTCGTAAATTAGCCTCATCGGTAACAGAAGGAAGATAGCCTTAGAGTACGTGCTAAGCTTTCGTCTGTCCCACGTAACAGACATCATTTGCGAAAAAATAACCAATACCTTAAATCAACCTTTCTTGGCGCAGCACGAATTGGTCAAGGTCGTGGGACGATGGACCGAAGACTTTTCTACACAATCTAACAGTCTCTACTCCAAGGCAATTCGCCATCGGTTTCCGATGATGCACACTCGTAAATCCTCGGACCAGCTTTTCCTTCAAAATGAAAAGTCGGGTCAACAACTTTTTTTAGAAATCAAAGAATGTTCGGTAACTATAAATGTCAACTTTCGAATTTCGGAGTTAACCCATTAGGAACAGCGAAAGCAACAAATGCCCAAAATATGCACTCAAATTGACATCCTTTAAGGTTATTCGTCTAATTGGGGTACCGGGCAGAAGTGCTATGCAAAAATCCATAAGTTTAAGTCAGGCCTCTATGAATGACTACGTTGCTCATTTATTCGAGTGATCTTATCGGATTATCAAAACGTCCAAAAACAAAGCGAAAGGGACTTAATCAAGCCCTGCTAGCAAATGGCTTGTTGCTTCCATAACAAGAATACTTTTCATACAAAGGGTGAATACAATAATATGCAATCGGTTGCATGCGCATAAACAAGGGTAATGGCAATAGTGGTAACTCACTTCATACTGATTAAATTGATATCCTAAATTAATAAATGATTAATAATAGGTGATACAGCATAAACCAGTTTCTGCCAAGGACCTGAATGAGAGGAAGATAAATCATATGTATTTCAAAGTTCGAACATTATCTTCGTTTCAGAGTCCTATCAAAGGAGAATTAACTAGAGCAACCAAAGCTTACCCTTACCATAAAAAATAACACAATCTAGGGAACTGGAGAAAAGAGAATATCTTATAACGGTATTCATCAAAATCATCAAGGCTATGAGTACTTAAAGAAGAAATGAGATGCAAGGTGGGCAGCATTTACAAGATAATGGGAGAATAGTGGGGCAAAAAAGCAAGGATGGCGAAGATACTTGCGAGTGTAACTTTAAGTGCCTTTTGAGCAAGCCGAGCTAGTTTATCTGAGGTGACGTTGTATTCGTTCGACTAGGTGGGTCAAACTTACGTTATGCCGTGCCCCAAAGAAGATGTAGTGTGCTCGTACATAAGCCCCAATAAAATGCAATAATGATTGTTTACTATTTGTCACATATATACTTTTAGTTAGAAATAAACACGTGCTCAAAAATACAGCTTTAGGACATAATAGAAGGCAAGCCATTAAAGAGCAGCAGACATGCAGAAAAAGCAAATTCAGAAAGAAAACGTAGATTTTGTAGGCTTTTGTATTGCTATTTTGATAAATGCTAGCAGATTACAGAGGATATTGGGTGATAGAAAATGATAGAGGGAAGGTTGTCATGCCCACGCCTCTACACGATAGCGGCCGGAGACCTCCATCTGGCGAACGAATTCTTCCGCCTGTTCTTGCGAGAGTGCGCCATTAACAATCAACACTTCAACGATGGCTTCACGGACTGCAGTGGGCATTTCTTTTGCATTCCCGGCCACAAATACGAATGGAGGACTGTAATGGTGCATCGGTTGATCCGCATTGGCTCCGTCAGGCGAGGCAGAGGTAAATACTGCGGTTGATAAAAGAAGATCTGCAACCAAGTGGCCCTGTTGGCGGATCCGCTGCTGAACGTACATTGCGTCGGTCTGGATTCGTGAAAAGGCAGTACACAGACGAAGTATGCCTTTGGATTCTAGATCTGACCAGTCGTTGGCAAAATAGAAATCACGGTCGGGATCTCGGCAGCCAAAGAAGAGCAGGTTTCGCGCCCTTGGGACTGGTGAACCGAGTATCCGAGTGGCCCTGGTCTCGGCGATGGCAAACGACCCAGCCTCCTCACCAGTCGACTGGCCGACAGGGGCGGCGTCGACCGCCGGCCTCATCGGTTTGTCTGTCCACTGGCCGAGTAGACAAGCTTGCAGCTTGAGGAAACTGCGGAACGGTGCCACTCCGGTACCTGTGCCGACCATGAGGCAAGATGGGAGCAGAAGCGGGACCTGTGGCAGAGCCAGTCCTGGGCTGGAGTTAGACCAGGGTGACGATGTGGAGGGGAGGCAGGCTGTAAAGGGAAGGCCTGGTGACGGCCGACTGATCCATCCAGGTACGAAGTCGCCAGGCTGACAGCGCGACAAGTAAGTGGAACAAAGGCCGCGGCGCGAGGTAGCCATGCGACTCTTGTAGGCAACTACAGCCACTAAGATCTCTAGATGGATGCTGGAAAATGATAGAGACCAATGGAGAAAGGTGAAGATGATACAAGTGCATAATAGTTGTTTAGTTTTGGCAGTGAATACGATGAAGCTTTAGCACTAATGACGCATTATTTTGATAATTCATTAAAGGCTAAAAGCACGGCTTTCGCTCAAAATATAGGTGGAACATGGTAGAGTATCTTGCATTTTGTTTGAAGAGGCGAGTGGAAGGGATTCATAAGTTGGCCTTACTGGAAGCTGTAGGAGGATTGTGGATTTGTGCTCCAAGGCAATCCCCCCACAGCTTCCGCTGAGACCAACTTGCGAATCCTTTCCGTCCGCCTCTTCAAACGAAATGAAGAGTACTCCATCATCAATCTATTAAGGGATTCTCCAAAACCAATTTTTCTGCATGGATAGGACAGTTTATAGGGGAAAATAACAATATTCCGAAAGATGAAAATCAAAGCAAAAATACTGCTCCAAAGTATAACGTTTGGATAGCTGGTGAGCCTCAAGGGTTTTGCAGAACCACACTAAGTAATAAATGAAAATGCAATATTTTTTTCGAGAATCTGCGAAAGACGCTAGGAGCCACACAAAAACAGACCTTAATTAAGCGAATAATACGTGTTGTATAAGCGAAGTGTAAAAGCTTTGCGATTAACCTCCCAAAGTAAGGCGTACCGCAACTATGCTAACGCTGTAAACGGTGTAAATGAGGTAGTTTGAAGTCTTCGGGATCAGAGAAAAAGGATGATAGCATAATAAAGAAGCGGAATAGAGGATAAGCCAATGGATATTTGATTACCAGAAGTGAAACATGGACATATAATCCAAGAATGACACTCGCTTAAATCAAGTTCGCAATCCAAAGCCAGGCCTCGTATATAACGACAATAATAGGGCCCTGGACAATGGAGGGAAAGAGCGTAGGAAATAAACCAGACGAAAATAAGAAGTCAAATAGGCTAATTTTGCGACAAAATAGGGAGTAATAATAAGAACATCATTATCATATCGAGTGCCTTTGGCTGTTCTGAGCTAAAAGATTGATAAAAGAACGGCTGGTGCAAATGAAGTCATGGCCGCGAGGTGTCAAAAATTACTTGGACCAAGAGAGGACCTAAAACGCAGTCGCCGCAAAAGCTTAGTGGCACTAGATCGCTAAAGGTAACGGTTGAATTTAGCCACGATGATGTGAGCATTTCCCAAGATGCCACCCTAGTTCATTTAGCCTCTCCTGAAGGTTTTCTCCTTCTGCCTTGATTACAATCTCGACCTCGGGATACGAAACTAAAGTCCACCCTGGATAAGAAAACCCTTTAAGAGGCAAGACTAAGCAAAATCCAGTGTTGTCGTAAGGCTTACTAATACAATTGTAAGAAAATTCAGCCAGCAGTCCCTAATCACAGCAAGCCAAAAATGCCTAAGATGACTAGAGTTTTTATTCAAGATTTGCTGATTTCGGAAGCCTATTTTTTCGAAAGATAAGTAACGTAGTGAATTTCAATGGCGAAATACAAATTTGTCAGTATAAATGGCATAAGGGCGATGTATGGCTTTCTTTGGATTTCACGTCTGCTCTGTAACCCAGGCGCATTTGTGGTAGTGAAGTTAGTGGTGTTAGGGTGTCGAGATTATACACTGCAATACTCGGGTTCGAGTCCTTCTAGGAGTATTGATGAGCCTCAGATAAGGTCAGAGCCATAGTACAGTCTGGATGAAAATAGCTCTTGCAAAGCAAGGCTAGGAGAAATTTAATGGAAAGATTAAGCCTACTTACATTATAGTGGAAAAATTCAACTATCAGTCCTTCATCACTTTGAGCTAAAACAAGAAGTAGTTCCATTTAACCCTGTACTAGTCTTGAGTTAATCGATGGGTGGATGGCCAAAGAATGAGTATATTAAAACGCGGAAAAAATCTGATTTTATAGTCCCAAGAATATCGCCAGAGAAGCAGCTTTGAAACATGTATGATTCTAGAATTGCGCGATGATTTCAGAGCTGGCAGAAGCAAGTTGTTAAATTGAGGTTAGACCCCTTCTAACAGGAGCAATTATGTAAAAAGGATTAAGAGTAGGAGTAGACAGATAAAAACCAGAAAACCGTTACACCAATATTCCATGGGTAGGATAATAAAAGGGAAAAATCCAATTATGTTCAGTTAGTAAATTTATAGAATATCAATAGGTCTTGAATAAGTCATAGCTAACTATGGCATATAGAGTTGAAGAATTGATATTTTGGCTCGCTTGCAATGAAACGCATGGGCCTCACGATGCCAGTGAATTTAACATAGCATTGCTTCTCGAAAGATAATTTCATCCAGAATAGACT